ATATGTTTCATGAATTGGAAAAAAAAAGTATTTGATGAAATGACAAATAAAATTTACTGTACCAAATTGCAACTCTAAAGCGTTGGTGGATAAAAATAGATTAGCAACAAAAATTTGTTAACGTTGCAATTATTTCTATTAGTTTAGGCTAATAATTAATTAATTATCGTAATCACTTACATTTCTTTTCTTGTCTTATTTGCTTATGGCCGGGTTTTGGAATGATCAATTTTGACCTAAAGTCTTACTCATATGTACACATACACACTCCATCTTTTTCTTATAGCAAATGATTATTTCCCAATAATTTACAAGCATTAGCTTTCAATGTTAGGGTAAACGCAACAAACCTAGGAACATTAATAACATAGCATTGATCAACATTAATTATATTACAACACTTCAACTTAGTTAATTATAATACAAATCAAATTAGACAAAACATGAACACTAGCTAATGATCATACACACTTATATATAAATATAACAAACCACATTTTACAAACTAAATTAAAGCACACAAACATAGTAAAAATTTTCTATTAATTTCCTTAATTCATTATTATTAATTAGACTGAGCGTGCTTTTTCAATTTCGTCGTCAATGAGAGTCGGGACCACCGGTGCACGCTTCACAACATCGATAATCGGACCTTTATGTTCCGGGATTTTTAGGCCATCGATGACATGTATTTGTCTTTCGATTTCCGAGAACTGATATTGCTGCTTTTTGGGCTCGTTTTTATCGCCATTTTTGTAGATAGCATAAAGAACCATTTGTAGGACTCCAAATATGAATCCCAAAACATTGGGGATCTGCATAAATATGTGTGAAACCTTAACCAAAAGTAATTTATATATGTAGAGTAAATTAAGATGCTAAATTGTAAAAATAAAAAAGAAATAATGTTGCTATAGCAAAGTATAGTTATATAAGATATATATTAATGTACTTACAGCAATGTTATAATCTTTACGCAAGAAGCCGTAAAAGAACCACATAACGGCGCTTAGGGTAAGGAAAAACGAGAGGAGGAACGGCATGTATTCCACACTTTTCGTTCGTATCACTTGTCTCTGAATAATCATCACATGAAAAATATATAATAAGAAAAAAAATAAAAATAATAATAATAATAATTAGATNGTTTTTTGTCGCGTAAAAGAGGTAGAAGAAAATGTAGGCAGATTGGACGAGACAGCCAAATGAGTTGATTGTGATGAGAAGAGTCGTGTCCGGTTTGAGAAATGCATAATACATCCAAAGAGTGGCGCTAAATAGTCCGACAATGTAAGGGACCGATTGAAATTCTTCGGTCGATTTTTTCTTGTAGATTTGGTAAAATGTTGGCCTGCATATAAAAAAATAAAAAATGGAATTTGAGCTAAATAATTTTCGTAAATTAATAATATTCACAAATTTTATTCCTAAAAAAAAAGGGAAATTGAGAGCTCACAATGGAGATAGGAACACCATGAATGAGACAATGTTGCCTGCAAAGGTGAAAAAAAAAATCAAGAAAGTATTAAATCTTGGTTTTGTATAAGATGTTTTCAATGAAAATTACAATTGTAATTACTTGATAGTGACATTATAATATTATATGCATGCTCAATTTGCATGCACATTTACGTATGAAATAATTTCTTGGACACACACAAACATACAAGAAAGACAAACATCCCTTTGTCTCTTTCACTACAAACAAAATAATCTTGCAATAATAGAAAAAAACAAAGATTATGAAAAGAAAGAACTTCACAAATTGTACCTAGAAGACCAAACACAAAGGCCAAATGATTCATTTCAAAATTCTTGATAGAAAAATCGAGACGGTAAATTTTTTCCTTCGAAAAATTTAACTAAGAGATGACGAGAGGCACGAGTATCAATCAGAGGGCAAAACGGCCTTATATATAAGCAACTTGGTGAATTTGAAATAAGCCAAATTATTTTTTCATGATTGTAAAAGCATACCATGGTTAGGTCAAGTTGATGGAAATCAGTGGCGTCCCGAAAAAATATGAGGCCTAGTTCAAAAAGCACTATGTGGAGGCCTAACATTTAACAAAATAAAAAATAAATAACAAATATCAACTAATCTATTACTTATATCACAAAGTATAGCAGCATAACCAAGAATTATACCTGTTCTGTTGAACAACTATAACTTTTTTTTTTTTTAAAAAAAAGCGATAGATGCTATATATAACAAACTCAGAAATACAGACTTAGAGCCTAAGCTCAAGTTCAGAACAAAGTCAAAATAACCAACCATTGAGAAACTCCCTGCAAGGAGTTCTAAACACCCCACTAACACATCAACTAACAACAATCCCAAAACTAAAGGCAATTACAACAACTGAACCCTTTAGTACAGATAACCAACAGAACACAAATACACAGAACAACTATCACTTGAAAAGTGATATTCTTTTAGCATTCTTTGAAATGAAATCTTCAGTGATATATTCATATTCAATTTGCTCCAGCATGCCACTCTCAAGTGCTATTAATGCCAATGCATTAAGTCTTTCTTGTGTCATTGTAGTTCGCAAGTAGGTCTTCAACAGCTTTAATTTTGAAAAGCTTCGCTCCGCCGATGCAACAGTCACTGGAATGGTCAATAGAATTCTGTATGCAATGGTTGCATTGGGGAAGCACTCATGTCGCTTCAAAAAATTCAGAATTTCGACCGGGCCTTTATTTTCTTGTGGAATAAAATCCTGAAGAAAAATCAACTCGACATAAAGGTCATCGGCATCAATATCAGATTGTCCATCTCGTTTAAGTACAGCCCCAAGATGCTGACAAGAAGATTTCAAGCTCTTATTATCCAAAGAACGCAATGCATCGGAAGTAAATAAGAAACCAAAGTCTTTCTTGTAACCTTGATACTGTTCAAATCTTGTAGTAAGAGAGGAAATAGCCTGATCAACAATTGGTATAAAATATTCACGTCGAAATAATTCCTCTACAGATTCTGTGGCATCATTTGAGTCATCCGGATTTTCATCAAAATGCCTCTTTCTTTTAATTTTTCTTTTCTTACGAAATGATGTACCAATATCCATGTCAAGTGCAATTTCTGTAGCTGCCTCTAGTGCATTTGAGAAACCAGTTTCTCTATATTGGTTGAAGAAAGATATCAATCCCTGCACTTTCTCAATAGCGACATCAATTAGCATATCCTGTGATTGCAATTCTTTGCTTACTAGGTTAACAGCATATAATAAGTCATACCAAATGACCACTGACACTAAAAATTCATACTCTCCAAGTTCATTATTTGCTAAACCTTTAGCCTCACTTCTTGTCAAAGGATCAGTATCACTATCAGATGCTTGAAGTAGAGCCTCTCGAATATTTGCACATTGAAACCTAATAGCTTTAACACTGTCAACACGACTCTCCCAGCGAGTAGATGACACTGACTTTAGAGTTAGTCCAGTTATGTTATCTTTCAGAATCTGCCATTTCTTAGTAGATTTTGCAAATGTTGTGTAGATACGTTGGATGATTCCAAAAAAATCATTGGCTTTACCACAAGTCTTGGCCATATCACATAGTGTTAAATTAAGGCTATGACAGCCACAAGCAGAATAGAAAGCTCTAGGATTTATATCCAGAAGTTTCTTTTGTACACCTTGATGTTTTCCTTTCATATTTGACCCATTGTCATAGCCTTGTCCTCTGATATTATCTATGTCAAGACCAAGATTCTTTAGTTCTTTCACTAGCACATCAAAAATACCTTGACCAGTTGTATCATTGATCTCCAAGAATCCCATAAATGATTCTTCAACACGAACATGACCTGAAGATGAATCCACATACCTTATAATTAATGACATTTGTTCTTGGTGGCTTGCGTCAGGAGTACAATCTAGTATGACAGAGAAATATTTTGCTTCCTTAATTTTCTTAATAATTTTAGATTTAATAGCAGAACCAAGCAAATGTATCAACTCATTTTGGACCCTAGGGCCAAGATAATGGACATGAGTTTCATCATTTGTAATTCGACGGATATGCTCCTGAATAACTGGATCAAATTCAGCCAACATTTGTACCATGCCCAAAAAATTTCCATTGTTGTCTTCATACAGTTTGCTATTATGACCACGAAATGCCAGATTATGTTTGCCAAGGAATTTTACAATGGCCACTATTCTGAATAGAACTCTTCTCCAATGTTCCTTTTCTTTCTCAAGTTGTCGCTGAGCAAATTTATCAATAGTTTGGTCCTTTTGCAGCCTATTACGCAACTCATACCAAGCTGTCATATTTGAAACATGATCTGCACTTGTCTCATGCTCTCTGAGTCTTTCACTAAGATGTGCCCAATCATTAAATCCAGAAGTGGCCAGATTACCTTTTCCATGCCCTTTACTGAATATTTTACAGCTAAAACAAAATACTTTGTCAAGTTCTTTGGAATACACAAGCCAATCTCTATCACACTCCTCTCCATTTGATAGAATTCTAGTGTAGAATAATGCAGAAAACCTTCTTGAAAATCTATCCTTAGGACCTTTCTGAATTGATAAATCTCTTTTAGGACCCTTTTCGGCTAGAATATCAATCTGTTTAGGATCTAAGGAATCCCAATACCTTGGATCAAAAATATCTGGCTGGAAAGAAACATCATCAACATTTGCACCATGAGAATTATTCAAGTTAACATCAGTGTTAGTGTCATCATTATTAGGCACTTGCTCAACAATATTTTCTATCTCTGGCTGATCATCAACATTTTCTGTATCTTGTGTAGTGCCCTGCCCAGCTGTATCATTATTGGGAGAAGAAATTTGTGGTTCTCTAATAATAAACCTCTCCATAGATCCTTTTAGGGATTGACCTAATTCCTCAATTCTTTGCTTTTTCTTACGCTTTTGATGGCCTGATTCAAATTTTCTAATCCGATTTGAACTTGAAGAAGACATGACTTGCAAATTGGAACAACAACACAGATTATTTTATGTACCAAGATTAATTAACTAAATAAAATAGAAATAGGGGTTGGTCGTGAGCGTGTAATTTACCTGGCAAGCTCCAACTCGAAGGACCGAGGACGGCCCTGGGCCTCGAGGCTCGATCTCCAAAACGGGAATAGCGGCGAGGACGAGGCCACCACGGCGCGAGGAACCTGACCTGACGACGGCGGACGCCGGATGGACGAAGGGCTTCGTTCGTCTTCGACTCTTCGTGTTCGTGCGTACGTCAATACTGAATTGGAACGGCGGCAGGCACTAGGCAGCCAGGCACCTCTCCGTCTCTACAAGTACAACTCACGATCGTGTCCAGCAGCAGCACTAGCAGGCCTCGTTTGGGCCAAAGTAGATTACAGTTGGGCTGATTATCTAACTAAAAAAAAGCCCAAAGTATTATATATATTTAGTAGGCTTAATAAATCTTGAGGCCCTTCATTTTTGGAGGCCCTGTTCGGTCGCCCAGCCCGCACGGGCCCAAGGACGCCCCTGATGGAAATATTGGGTGGGAATTAGGGGTGAAATGTAGTATTAATCTTTTCATCTTTACAGTTGTTCAAGACACAAAAAAATTAACACGAAGTGCTTATTACTTCTCTTGCTATACACCAAAAACGCCTTTTGATTTTCATCCTTCACCTAATGCCCAAATAGACCCAATTTAGGTAGTCCCAGCGGGGCCCACGGCCCATGACTTGTAAAGATCCAATTGCAAGGTCTAGAAGGAGTGGAGCCCAATTAGGCATCTTTTCTGCAATTGGGCTTTTAATAAGGCTTACAACTCATAGTTAGAGTTTTGGAAATGGGAGTCAAACACAGGAGCCAATCAGATTTTGCCACGTCATATCCCTTTGTGCAGACTTCGCACGTGATTATTTAGATCATCTCCAATGCTCAACTTTCAACATTAATTAAATTTGAACACATGTCAATCAATGTATTAATGTTTAATCTACATGAACTGAATGTTAAAAGAATAGGACTTTCATTTGAATTGTTGCCTCCAATGCATCTATTCAACAACCATATAATTTGTATATGTAGATTTATTCAATTATTAATGAAATCAAAGAGTATATTAGAAAAAAACCACAAATTCCAATAATTATATACATGATGTTATTTTTTGTTGATTCAGTTAATTTTTATTTATATCATCAAATTTATAAAATTATTATTTATTCAATAATTTCTCAGTTACAATATGTATAACCACACAATAAATATTTTTTTAATCGGTTCAAAATAAAACAACAAATATTAAAATTGCAATAACTCAACAAACAAATATCATGAACATAATAATTTTACTTTTCAGGACATTATTATTGATAACTTTTTTAAATTTTAGTTGTAACTCATCAAATAATTATATTGTATTCAAATAAATTCTCAAATGTTTCTTGGATAAATGTAAGGGTGGGATTTTTCCAAGTTTATGAAAAGCTCAAAATTTGTGTCAAATAATTATCAAAATGTTGAGTCATCATGTTAGAAAGAATGTGAGAAATTAGAAAATGAACTTCACAATGTTAACATTAATTTATTACACATAAGCATGAAAGGATCCATAATCTAATGTATTGGAGGATAAATTATTTACACACTTTCTATCTAGATGAGGTGGATAACTTTTTACTCTTTCAAAAGAATGCATTAGAGATGCTCTTAGAGTCGTAACATCCATAATTCTTTGGATCTAATGTTTTTACGAGTCCGCAAGTGTAAATGGATTCTAAGTCTTGAATAATATGAATAAACTCAACTCAAAGAGACTGCACTTGTGTAAAAAATAGACTTAAAGTGGATTGGG